GCATTTGAATGATGCCTACACCTTCGTTCAATTGCAACTTGTGAAATTCATTTAAAAAGCTTGTTGGAAACTGAAGTTCATCTAATTTAGGAATGGTAGTCTAATTTCATTGAAAAAAACTAATTATTTATCTCATGTTTAACCTATGTAAAATTTTATTATGTTTGATCACTTGCACCCACTCAACTCAATGATTAAAACCCATTTAGTTTTCAAGTACGTTTAATCTTAACATTATTAAGAGCCTAAGTTATTTTTTATTAAACAGTACTACATAAACCTACTAGTTGTTTGAATAACATGTCAATAACCGCCATTGTTTTGTGGAATCATTTTATTTTTATTTTTATTTTGGTAAAAAATACACTCTGGCTATTAAGTATTAATTTGTATTCTCTTCGTCCATAAAGATATACTTGCTTTTCCTATTTACTTTTTCTCTCAAGTTATAGGTCACCTTCCTTATTGAGTGTATAATTTATTTTTGAGTTTTCTAATATACTTCGATTTAATGTGATTTGTTATCAACAAAAATGAACTACTCATATTTAAACTATTATTTAATGTAAATGTATATTAGGGAAAATGTAAGAACAATTTATATTTTCAACTATATTAATTACATTTTCTTAATCTGTGTAAATATGGAAACAATCACGTTTTTGAAGGATTATAGATAGTATTTGATAGGTAAGAATCTTTATAGTAGTTAGTAGATATTAGACTTTTATCTAATTATGGTACCTGTCAGCGATATGCCCATCTCTATACTTTGTTCAACTTGTCTAAATGATTATGCATTCAACATAAACATATATACTACAAAAATTAAAATTAAAATCAATCATAAAATTATATTGTTGGAAACTTTCTTGTGACATTCTAATTTCTATTTTTATTTATGTACAACTCAATTGAAATTATACAACTTGTACCAATTTGACCAACATTTATCAATAACCTACAAAGTCTGAGATAAGCATTTTCTGACTTTTTTATTTTTATTATTTCTTGATAGGTATGTGTCAGCTGACCTATGTTGTAAATTATTGATTTCATTCCAATTTTGTAGTGGTAAACAAAGAAAGAAAAGCAATCTTTCTTACGTTGGATAATTGTATGATGGAAATTTGGGAAAAAGTGAATACATCTCCCTCTACATTCATATGGAGGAGAAATTTAAAGAGTAAATTGCATATTTAGTATTCAATCTTTTTTCAAAATTTTAATCTTGCTCACAACCTTTTTTCGTATCATGAACCTTCATAAATTAACATAGTTAGTCACTAAAGATGGTTTTCGTCCAAAAAACATGTTGAAATGGTATAAAAAGACAATGTTGCACATTGTTTTAGATAAATAAATACAAAAGAAAAAATTAGAAAAAGAAAAGAAGCCAATCTTCTTCTTTAATATAGAATTTACCCAAAAAATAATTAATAAAAGTTGGGGAACTAAATATGAAATTTGCCCAAGAAAGATCAGCACCGTCTTCTTTGAAAGAAGGTTGGGGATTAAGGGTGCGTTTGATGGATATTATTTTGGAAGAATGTATTTTGGAATAGTAGATTGATGAAGAGTGTGTGATTGAAAAAGAAGGAAAAGTTATTGATGTGATGGAAAATATTATTTTATTGAAAAATGTGTGGTTGAAAATGAGTTTAATGGGTACCAAACACACCCATATAAATATGATCGAGTTGGCAAGCCTACATATCCCTGCAGATTTGGCAGCTGGAAGAGAAGTGATGATTCCGGTCAACCCTTCAATAAATAATGAATTATAAAGGTACATTTGGGGGAAATTTTTCCCCTTGTTTGATCATTTTTTTTCTAAAATACGTTTTATTCTTTTTTTCTTTTTGACCACACATTATTCAATAAAATAATATTACACGTAGATTCAATTTTTTTAACCACACATTCTTTATCAATTTAATATTTTAAAATATATTCTACACAAAAAATGAGATTCAAACTGACCTTATATATTTACTTCCGAAATTAACTACAATTTATTGTTTGCTTTGTGCAAAATGAATTATTAGAAACGGATCTTTTTTTTTGTTCAAAAAAAATGTGATGAAAAAGTAAGAAAATAAATTTTCAAATAATTTTTATGCTGGTCTTTTCCGCTTTCCGTGTAGTAGGTGAGCGCCAAATGAATAAAATTAAAAAAAAACATAATTTAGAAAGAAAACTATCTTATTTATTATATTGAATTTATTTTTTTGACAATTAAGTCCTGACTTTTAAGTTTGTTAGATAGTAGGGAAGGAAATGAGAAATGTATACATCTTAAATTTCATCATTAATTAATATTCTATAGATAAATGATTGATTTTGTAAATTTCATCAACGCAAACATGAATTATATATTTGATTTTCCCTTCCAATATTCTTCAAACATTGATCTCCATACCTAATATTCCCTTGTAGGCAATAACCGACCGTTTACAAGAATATGTTTCGTGTATTGAGCATATTATACATATTAGTCCCATTTTGTACGCAACACACCCCACGCGAGAATAATTTTATCACCCTTAAGCAGACATTGGTTAGATAATATATTTGGAAAAAAGTAGTCCCAATGCACAACGAACGCAGCATAAGCAAAAATCAAACAACGAGTAAAAAAGAGAAAATACAAATTAAACATGATTTTACAAGGTATCAATGACTTAAGAGAACGATAATCAATCAAGTCAATAAAACTAACATTACGAGACTTCTCTAACTCTCTCAATTTCTCTCTACACACAATATATGTTACGTATTCGCTTCAATTCTCTCTCTACACAAAATATATGTTATCGCTTCAATTCTCTCTCTACCCCTGACAATCTCTTTGTGCTCTATGCCATGTGTCACAGTTTTCCTATGCAAAACTAATGGGTAAATAGCATAAAATGTCCCCATCTTTCAATGTTATAGTGCAAAACGTCCATACCTTTTATTTTTTGCATTTTCATCTCCACCTTCCACATTTCATTGCGCAAAATGTCATTTTCAACAATTTTCCAATAAAATGACGATTTTACCATTCTATTCAAATGAAACAAAAAGAAAAGAAAAGAAAAATAAACAACTAATTGCGATTATAGTCCTAAATTTGTCAAAATATTATAGATAAATCCTAAATTCTCCACTATCACGACTTTCACAACCCCACCAAGCCACCACCTATAGAACCACATAGTACCATCTTCTGGCCACCACATTCGCCGGACTCCACCACCATTAGCCTCACTTTACTCTCCCCAACATCATCTCCCACAGTATTGGTCACAAAATTTGTAAAAAACAGCCACATTTGTAGCCTAAAATACCAAACTGCCGTATATAACCCTTCACGGCAATCAGTGCCACCTACGGTCATGCACCACCACCGACGGTTACCTCTCACCTCGACGAACCTATACATGGCCTCATATCAATCAAACTTGCCTCAAATCATTCTATTGTAATCTAGACATTCAACAGTGGCGACGTCTATTTTGCGAAACTCTTCTCCTTCAATTCATGCATCCCACAACACTAAACCCCCAAATTGGCATCAATCAAACCATCAACAAACCCAAATGACAATGGGTATGAATTTGATTGAACCAATTATCTCCCCAACCATTTAAATTTCTGGTACAAAACTCTCCAGGGCGCGATGTACAGAGAGAGCTGTCTGACCAAAATTGTTAGGTCCTTAGTGCTACAATCTTCAAATTCGAGTGGGGGAGGACGATGGGTGAATGAAGTGAGGTTGGTGGTGGTGGAGTCTGGTGGGTGTGGTGGCCGAAAGGTGGTGCTATGTGGATCTATAGGTGGCAGCTTGGTAGGTAGTGAAAGTGGTGGTGGTGGAGAATTTATGATTTCTTTGTAATGTTTTAAAAGAGCAGTGATTGAAGTACAGGGCAAATTTTCACAGAATACTGCCAGGCAAGACACAGGTGGGGTCCGCACTAATTTTTTTTTAATACATGTGGGGGCCACAATACATATGAGTGGCCTGTAAGTATTCTATGAAAAATCCCCCTGTACGTAGGGCATTATGCTTTTTAAAAACTTAAGGACTATAGTTGCAGTTAGTTATTCATCTTTTTTTATTTTATTTGAATAGGAGGGTAAAATCATCTTTTATTGAAACAATGGTTGAAAATGATCTTTTGCGCAATGAAAGGTGGAATGTAGGGGTGAAAATGCTAAAAAAATGAAAGGAATGGACGTTTTGCACAATAACATTGAAAGGTAGGGATGTTCTGTGCTATTTACCCCAAAACTAATATACTTAGCAACGCAAAAAAAGAAAAAGAAAAAGGTATTCTCCATTTACAACTGGAAATGGAATCGGACCTGACAATATTCCTACTACGTTAATTTCCTTTACCTTCTAACAAAACTTAGTGGTTATGAGCAATGAGTTGAGAATATTGTCGAGAATATTGTTTAAAAATTTTATGCCATTTGACAGTTTCTGCGGTGTTGACATTGATAGGGTGTGTGTTAGTTAGTTTCAGTCACGTCTCAATGATTGCTTTTGAAGAAAGTATTATTTGGAACCCCCTACCTCCAAAGTCCTAAAAAACGTGGGATAGTTTTATATATATATATATATATAATGTGTTACCAGTCCTCGCTCTGAGCTGGAAATGATTGCATATACACGTATAGTTTAAATTCTAGCAAGGTAAGGTCACAACTCATAACGCAACCTTTTTGTTACATGTAATGTTCTGAATTTAACAACTTTGGCAATTTAAGGTAACGTTTTGATCTATATTGCACTCTTGATTCTTTTGTGGAACTAGTTTTACATCTTTTTTACTTTTATTCTGTGTTTGAGCTCATTCCTTAATAAATTGTATTGATCATCAGAATTTTGCTTTTCAACAATGAACTCATTGGGCTTCTAGCTTTTCAGCTTGACGATTCCCAGCTGCATATTCAGCTCAGCTGACAAGTAGATTATACGTACTGCTTTGAAGTTGAAAGAGAGAGAATCAATGAGTATAGCTATGGCTGAAACAGATGAGTCATCCATATTAAGCCAAGGCCTACAAAAGGAGGTCATCGACAGAAGTACTGGCATTAAAGGAGGCCAAGACGACTCGAGGAAGTCCAAGGAAAAGGAGACCACAAATACAGTTCCATTTTACAAGCTATTCTTCTCTGCTGATCTTAAGGACAAACTATTGATGATTGTAGGCACAATTGCTGCCATTGGAAATGGGCTTAACCCGCCACTTATGGCATTTCTTTTTGGGGAGCTGGCTGATGCTTTCGGAACAAACAAAACCCAGGACATTACTCCTGTTGTTTGCAAGGTAAACAAATTAAAGTCTGCAGTTCAACAAGTGTTTATATTCTACTGCAGAAATTCCTTGATTGATGTTGGAGATTTTCTGATTTCTATTCTCTGCTAATCTTCTTAACTTTTTCTCTATTCAATAACTTTGTATCACTTCAGGTCTCACTAAAGTTAGTATACGTGGCAGTGGGGTGTGGTGCAGCCGCATTCCTTCGTAAGTACTCTTAAAAACGATATGAGTATACAAATTTGAACATATAAATAAATGTCAGTTTTGAAGAACTATTGGCACTAATATTTAAAGTCTCTTTTCTATAGAGATGACATGCTGGATGGTCACTGGAGAGAGGCAGGCTGCACGAATTAGGAGTCTCTATTTGAAAACTATTTTACAGCAAGATATTGCTTTCTTTGATAAGGAAATAAACACAGGAGATGTGATTGGAAGGATGTCTGGTGATACAGTTCTAATTCAAGATGCCATGGGCGAGAAGGTAATATTCTTACCTGAAAGCATGATCTCATCTGGATAATTAATTTCTCCCTCAATAGATACTGCCATGTAACTGATCACCACACATACCAATGCACCGTCTAATATATTTCTTATTTTCTGCAGGTAGGGAAGTTTATACAGTTGATGTCGACATTTTTTGGAGGCTTTCTCATTGCATTTACTAAAGGGTGGCTTCTTACACTCGTCATGTTATCATCTATTCCTCCACTTGTGATATCCGGTGGAATCATGTCCTTTGTAGTATCCAAGATGGCATCACGTGGACAAAATGCATATGCTAGTGCTGCCACTGTCGTTGAACAGACAATTGGCTCCATCAGAACGGTGTGTCACTAATTCCCAATTCAATTCAGATCTTAAGAAAAATAAATTTTACAACGATTAAGTATGGATGTTAGTTCGCTCCTTGGTTTACATTTAAAAGTTTTGTCTCTCTCTTTTTTTTTTTTTCCCTATCCAGGTTTCTTCATTTACGGGGGAGAAGCAAGCTGTGGCAAAATACGACAAGTCCCTTGAAAAGGCTTATAAATCAGGTGTACATGAAGGGTTGGCTACAGGGCTTGGTATTGGTTCAGTTATGTTTATGATGTTCTGCAGTTATGCTTTGGCTGTTTGGTACGGCACAAGAATGATCTTGAACAAGAGTCACACAGGGGGTGAAGTCTTCACGGTAATTGTAGCGGTGTTAACTGGATCCATGTGAGTTTGCTTTCAAGTTTTTAAAATTTTTAAATTATGCATGTATTTCCCACTAAAATTTTCCTATTAAGCTGTCCAGATCAGTCTGTGATTGGCCATTTTCAACATTTGAAAGCAAATGGTTATATTTCAGGTCTCTAGGACAGACATCTCCTTGCATGACAGCATTTGCAGCAGGACAGGCTGCAGCTTACAAGATGTTTGAGACTATAAGTAGGAAACCAGATATAGATGTATATGATACGAAGGGGAAGATTCTGGATGACAACATTCATGGGGATATAGAATTGAGAGACGTCTATTTTAGATATCCAGCAAGACCAGATGAGCAAATATTTAGTGGATTCTCTCTATTTATCCCTTGTGGCACAACTGCAGCTTTGGTTGGACAGAGTGGAAGTGGGAAATCAACTGTGATTAGTTTGATTGAGAGATTTTATGATCCACATGCTGGTGAAGTTCTGATTGATGGAATTAGTCTCAAAGAATTCCAGCTTAAATGGATTAGGTCAAAAATAGGTCTTGTCAGCCAAGAACCTGTGCTTTTCACAGCAAGCATCAAGGACAATATTGCATATGGAAAGGATGGTGCAACTCTTGAAGAGATCACACAAGCGGCCAAGCTTGCAAATGCTTCTAAGTTCACTGATAAATTACCCCAGGTTTATTTCTCAATAAACATGATTTGACTCGTATTTTTTCTCAATTCAGAAACTAACTAGGATCTACTTATTATTAGTTGGTCTTCAATATTTAATTTTCACGCAGGGCTTAGAGACAATGGTGGGTGAACATGGTACACAGCTTTCTGGTGGACAGAAACAACGAATTGCCATAGCCAGAGCAATTCTGAAGGACCCAAGAATTTTACTTCTGGACGAAGCAACAAGTGCGCTAGATGCTGAATCTGAGAGAATAGTTCAGGAGGCTTTGGACAGGATTATGGTAAACAGAACTACAGTCATAGTTGCACATCGTCTCGGTACGATTAGAAATGCCAATATGATAGCAGTCATTCACCAGGGGAAGGTGGTAGAGAAAGGTATATTTAAATAAACTGGATGAAAAACATAGTTTCACAATTGAATAATTATTTTCATGATACCAGGATAATATCACACATTGATCATGCATCAATGCTTTTATTTTTTTTATTTTTGTTCAAATTGAGTTACTTTTCAATTAACAAAAACACTTTCCTATATCTTCGAGATGAACTTCCCTAGAAAAATTTAATTTGGTGACTTCTACATTTAAATAACAAGGAAAACCTAATATTTGTAATATGTTTTGATAAGCAGGCACACATTTCGAACTACTTCAAGATGTTGAAGGAGCATATTCTCAGCTCATACGCTTGCAAGAAGCAAACAAAGATGACAAGCAACTTGTCGATGAAAAAGACAAATCAAGTTTCGATATGGAATATGGTAAACAGTCGAGTAGAAGAACATCATTTCTTCATTCCGTAAGTCGGGGTTCTGGGTCCTCTTGGTTAAGAAATAGCAGTCGCCATTCAATGTCAGTCTCGATTGACCTGCCTTTAACATCTGATAAGCCTCCAGAAGTTCCAATCCGCCGGATTGCCTACCTCAACAAGCCTGAGGTGCCAGTTCTAGTAGCTGGAGTTCTATCTGCTATCATCAATGGGGCAATAGTTCCTATTTTCGGAATATTACTTTCTATGGTGATTAAAACCTTCTATGAGCCACCACATGAACTACGAAAAGATTCAAAATTCTGGGCATTGATGTTTGTGGTTCTTGGAGCAGTGTCATTACTTGCATATCCAGCCAGGACATATTTCTTTGGTGTGGCTGGGTGCAAGTTAATAAGGCGAATTAGATTAATGTGTTTTGAGAAGGTAGTTAACATGGAAGTTGGTTGGTTCGATGAGCTTGAACATTCAAGTGGAGTAATTGGTTCAAGGCTCTCTGCAGATGCTGCTACAATTCGTGCATTAGTTGGCGATGCACTTGCACAGATGGTTCAGGATGCTGCCTCAGCAGTTGTTGGATTGGTTATAGCTTTTGATGCTTGTTGGCAGTTGGCACTTATTGTACTCGCTTTGATACCTTTGATAGGATTGAACGGATATGTACAACTCAAGTTCATGACTGGGTTCAGTGCAGATGCAAAGGTTTTCTGAACACTTGATATTACAGATTTTATGACATTGTCTAAAAGTTTGTTGTCCTCACTATTTATCAAATTGGTTGCAGGTTATGTATGAAGAAGCAAGTCAAGTTGCCAATGATGCTGTTGGGAGTATAAGAACAGTTGCTTCCTTTTGTGCAGAAGAAAAGGTGATGGAAATATACAGGAAGAAGTGTGAAGTCCCGATGAGAACAGGGATAAGACGAGGATTGATTAGTGGAATAGGTTTTGGTTTGTCTTTCTCGTTGGTATTTTTTGCCTATGCAACCAGCTTTTATGCAGGAGCTCGGCTTGTTGAACATGGCAAAACAACATTTTCAGATGTCTTCCGTGTAAGCATAATCCGATCTATCTCTCCATTAATATTATTAAATTAAAACTTATATTTGATTACCAGAACTCAAAATCACAACAAAAGTGACATCTTTAGTTTGACCAAAATGTAAAAATGTCAAATATTGTACAGGTTTTCTTTGCTTTAACAATGGCAGCAATAGCAATCTCTCAATCAAGCACATTTGCCCCAGATTCAAGCAAGGCCAAGGGTGCTGCTGGTTCTATATTTGCTATTCTTGATAGGAAATCAAAGATTGATCCTAGTGATGAATCTGGCATGACAATTGAAAATCTGAAGGGAGATATTGAACTAAGACACATCAGATTTAGGTATCCAACTAGGCCAGATGTCCAGATTTTCCGAGACCTTTCTTTGACAATACACAGTGGCAAGGTGAGATGACCTTGTATACTAACATTTGAGATATTTTCCAATTGTAGGTGCATTTAATTCATGTAAAAATGCAGTGTCTAATATTGTTGGTAAGATGATGTTTCAGACAGTCGCTCTGGTTGGTGAGAGTGGAAGTGGGAAGTCAACAGTAATCTCATTGTTGCAGAGATTTTATGACCCGGATTCAGGCCAGATTAAGCTTGATGGAGTTGACATTCAGAAGTTCCAACTGAAGTGGCTAAGGCAGCAGATGGGGCTTGTGAGCCAAGAGCCGATGTTGTTCAATGAAACAATCCGAGCCAACATTGCTTATGGTAAGGAAGGAAATGCAACGGAGGCAGAAATCAAAGAAGCATCGGAGCTGGCAAATGCACACACATTCATTAGTGGATTACAACAGGTTAACGATAGAGTAATTGGTGCATATCAAATTTATTTTACTTTTACATTATCTGTGTTTTGATTAATGGCAAAAGATTCACTAATTTAAATGAATTTTGACGCTGACAATGAACAATATGCAGGGATACGAGACTGTAGTGGGGGAGAGAGGAATTCAACTGTCCGGTGGACAAAAACAGCGAGTAGCCATTGCACGAGCCATTTTAAAAAGTCCAAAGATACTTCTATTAGATGAGGCTACAAGTGCACTTGATGCTGAATCTGAGAGGATAGTTCAACATGCACTTGATCGAGTAATGGTGAATAGGACTACAGTGATTGTAGCACATAGGTTATCAACAATCAAGGGAGCGGATGTAATTGCTGTTGTTAAAAATGGAGCTGTAGTGGAGAAAGGGAATCACGACACGCTTATCAACATCAAACATGGTTTTTACGCGTCTCTGGTCTCTCTTCACATGAATGCTTAGGTTTAATAAATATTCTTACTTGAACATCATCATGTACTTAATTATATGTATTTTATTACTCATCATGTAATGATAATGGAAAAAACAAAATGTATTTGTTATATGTATTTTGTTATTCATCATGTAATGATAATAGCAAGAACAAAATGTATTTGTTAACCTTCTTTCTTCCCCACTTTTTATTCTTTCATAAAAACTGTGTCTTTTATAATAGGTGTGTAATTGGACTGTTTCCACTTTACAAACAACTCATAATTAGGATTATATTTATTAGAAAAGATATTGTATCTAACTCAACCTAACAAAATCGACTTGTTAGGGGAGGATTACCCTCACCTTATTAAGTGGATCGTGTAAATATCACCAGCGAATGTGAGACTCTAATACGCCCCCTCACGCACAGCGTGTATCATGCCAAACAATTGTAAACAAATCGATATTGGGTGCACCCAACATTGCAAAACTGGGTCTGCTCTGATACCATATTAGAAAGGATATTGAGCCTAATTCAACCTAACGAAACCGGCTTGTTAGGGGAGGATTACCCTCACCTTATTAAGTGGATCATGTAAATATCACCAGCCAATGTGAGACTCTAATAATATTGTATTATGTTCACGTAAATATGTTGAATTAAAATCACCGCAAGTACACGGTTCGTTAATAAGTAGTAAAATGAATTTTGAGTCCAAGTATTGTTCTTACGAAGATTGATTATTTCTAATTCTAATTACCGTGACTTTAATCGAAATTATAAAAAGATGAGAATGTTTGTTTTGATAAATTTATAACTAATTTAATACTAAATATGCAAATATGAATTAATTAATTAACTAAATGCAATTTTGGCAATGAATGTAAATTTGAGTTTTTCTAATATGTGATGAATGTACTAGGATCACGAATCTCTATGCAATAATCTTTTTAAACCTAGTTTCACACCTTGACACACGGTTGGAATAAAGAAAAATCAATTCTCCTAAATTATTTAACAATCTTCCTCGACTAGAGTTAAACCTATTCAAATATGCGACCCGACTATATCTCTATGACAGATGCAAACATACAAGAATGCATGAGTTTTTATGAACACTTAAAAATTCACATAAGGCATATCGGTATATTTCTATCCCTTATCGGACCCTATGATAATTTATATATGTCGAACATATTCCACTTCTTTTGAATGCATGAAATAAACCACCAAACTCAGCGCATATAATTGTGGAGAAAAATAAATTAATATAAATCATTCAAATATCTCAAAACGTTTTATTGTCGCGAATGTAAAACTAAGAAATAAAAATCATATTACATAATTCATCTAATCCTAGCACATGATTAATCTAGTCTAACATGGTGGAAAGAAGAAAATTAGAAAAATAAATAAAGAACGACATCACCAATTCCATTCTTGAATTGGATCTTTGTATTCTTGGAGTTGATCTTCGCGTTCTTGCCTCTTTTCTTCTCTCAAAAGTCTTCTCCAATCTCCCCTCCCACTTTTGGACGGCCCTAAGATTTTAAAATACCCACAAGATTCGTTTCCATAAGAGTTGTAGTCGAATTAGAAAATCAGAATTTTTTTCCCGAAATGGCCTGGGCGAGGGCCCAGTACAAAATGGGGTGGCCTCCCAGGCAAAATAAATGGGCGGTTGCCCAGGCTAAATTTTGCCACTTTTCTTTTCCGCCATTTTTTTCATTTTTTCTTCCAACTTGGTCCTCCTCATCAAATTACTTCAATTGTAGTGCTTCAACTTTTACTTAAATGCATGTTAGTTCCCAAAATTTCATCAATTGGCCAATTTATCATTCTTTCTTTTTCCAATTGCTTCGAAACAAGTTCAAAACTGAAATAAGATAAAAATAACCTAAGTTTAGTAAAATGCAACAATGAAACGATACAAAAGCTTAGTAAAATGGCCTCGAATAAATGCACAAAAATGCACTTATCAAACACCCCCAAACTAAAACCTTTGTTCGTCTTCGAACAAAACTAAAACTTAATTCCACATAAATCATGGTTTAACAACCTGCTGTGTCTCAGAATTGGAGTTTAGTAATAAACAAACTGAACAATTTAAACAATGCACAAATCAAATCAATCTTCACGTGTTTATATGCATAACTCGACATGTGTGTGTAAACTCATATAGACATATCAAGCTCATGATTAGCTCAACACTTTACCCATAGTAGTCAAATATTTCTTCACTTCGCTCGAGAGATGCACACACCTCCAAACTTATTCTTTTCACTCAATTATTCCGGGGTGTGTTCTAAGGTTGAACTCATTTATATATATTCATTTCACTCTCTTAGTTCGGATGAATCATACTATCACAAGCTCATACTTTAACAAGCAGATGTTCTCCTATTTTTGATTTCTTCAACCCTTGAGATTAAACTAAGATATTTGCCTCGTATTAGAGATATAGTCTTATCAACCGAATATTTGGGGCTAATCAATATTTTATACATAAGAGTATGTATGTTATTCATCAATAGATAAATACACTTTTTTGTTATATATTTATAACATATTTCCTTTGCTTTCTATATAACATCTGTAGCGAGCTTTTGACCGATAACTCCCAAGTCAGATGACCATAGAGTACCAGGTTTTAAACCCTTGCAGACTTAATCACTCGAGTTATATAGGCTCGAACATATGTCTTTATTTATTCAATGATTAGTGCAATACTCCTTTTCTTTTAGACACCCAGTTTCTAAAACAAAACTCTAACTTGAAACTTTCACTTCGTTTTCATCTCATTGATTTTAGATAATCCACACATAATATCATGCACGGAACCTCTACTCATCTCAGTGCTCACTTGCAATATTTCAATCACATCTAAACTATTCTAAAAATTGGTCATGGTTTAGCACAAAAGAGATTTTCTGGGTATATTCTCTATGTTCAATTATTTTTACGCAATGAGTCAAATCATTAGCCCAATATGCAAGCATGAGTGTCGTGCGCACAGTAAATCAAGTTTTATATAAACATGTGATCAATCTAATAATGTACAGTTTTTACCATTCACTGTCCATACATAGTCCAATATTAAACATCATGGTCGACAGGATTGTCAAACTCATACAAGCACACAAAATTCTAAATTAATGCTAGAAAGTAAACAAATAGACTCAAAGTAACTAATGAAAAATCGCACATAAGACTAATTTTTTTTCACACAATCACACAAAAATTGCAGTAACACGATGAATGAAATATTCCTGCCGCCAACTTATATAGAATATTGTCCTCAATGTTTAAAAAATGACAAAATGCAACTTAACAGCACATAACGCTGAGGACAATTTCACACAAGATAAAGAACAAGGGGTTGTGGATACTTCTCTGACCAATGTAGATATAAATTTGAAGATGGTGGAGTGAAAGAAGTATGTATCATGTATAGACTCCTTGTGTCATGTAAAGATGATGATTGATTCAGAATTATTGAAAATTATAAAAACTCAAAAAAGAAATTCCTAATCTAATGCAAAAGATAGAATAAATAAAAGGGAAGAATTGTTGGGTTGCCTCCCAACCAGAGCTAAGTTATAGTCGATAGCTTGACTGTACCTCGGTAAGCTTAGGGTGGTTTAAATCGAATAATTTCACCAGTGTACGCTTTGAAATTTCTAGCTTTACATCCCATTTTAGCTCTCCAAACTTTGAATTATCCATTTTCATCTCTACCAAGAAGTCCTCCTAATTTTGCTTTCCTCTTCTGACAATTTTGTTGAAGGGATAGTTCGTCTTCATTTATACACTGACACTCGTTGAGGGATAATGGTTGTTTGGATTGATTATATAATTTAAAAACCTCTTTTGCTCCTCATCTACCCGTAAGATTAGCTCACACTTTTTCATATCAATTATAGCTCGCCCTGTTGTCAAGAATGGTTTCCCTAAGATTTTTGGAATGTCTCTGTCTTCTTCTATGTCCAAAATAAGAAAATTCGTTGGGAAGATGAATTTCCCTAGTTTAATCAGCACATCTTCTATAATCCCCCTAGGGTGGGTAAATGATCTATCAGCCAGTTGCAGAGTCACCGATGTTACTTTAGCCTCTCCCAAACCGAGTTTCCTGAAAATAGACAGTAGCATCAAGTTAATACTAGCAC